GAGCAAGATTTTGAATTCAATTCTGGATTTAACAGGAAGCCAATGAAGGGAAGCCAAAACAGGAGAAATATGCTCTCTCTTTCTAGTCCCTGTCGGTACTCTTGCTGCAGCATTTTGGATTAGCTGAAGGCTTTTCAGTGAGTTTTTAAATGTGTTTATCATTTGAGGAAGTTCACAGGAGTGCAAGTCACAAACATTTGATATGCAGGTGTTGGACAAAGATAAAAAAGCTAATGTTTGAGCAGCATTTTAAACCTTTCTATTCTCTTTAAGCTGTATTATTATGGGCTTGATGAATATATCAAGCTCTGTAAAATTCTATAGCAACACTGGGGAAGGGCTGTGAGAGAGAGAGCAGGTCCAGATGATCTAACCACCATTACCACCAGTCATTTTCGAGGTTAAGTTCACTCTTCAGTGAATAATAGTGTATCCTCTTATCTGTGAGTGGTGTACTGTATGCTTCACAACACCAGGCTGTAGCTTCAAATGTCAGCTACCTGTTTCTGTTTCCCTTTTAGGTAAGAACATGCAGTGAGTACACACACCGCATGCATTACTTCTGCATGGTGTACTGCACATGTCTGCAGTTGAGCCAAATGACAAGCTATTGCTCATGATGACAACAGGATCTCTTGGCTTCCTCTTAAATCTCATGGGAGATCAAGTCCTTGTCCCTTATTCACTGCTCTAGTTTTCAACAGACTCACAGAAAGGTTGGGTGCTGACTAACGGATATATGGATCATGTTTGGATGTGGGTCTCCGTGAGTAGAGCAGGTTAAGAGCTACACACGAGTGTGTTTATGTTTCATAGTGTGCGAGGGGGTTAATAGACAGCACGATTTCACTTTCTGTCCACTAAGGAGCCTCATCTCTGTGGGTGTTTGGATGTAAGTGGGTGAATATATGTAAATAATTATTACAAATTAAAAGCCATGGATATTACACACACAGTCACACACAACAGTTATGATCCAATAAGATGAACCATCGAAGGATACGGATAAATGAATGAAAAGACAAAAAATTTCCTGATCATTGTCATTTTGCACATTTAAACCATATTAATCTCACAATCTCACAGGGTTCACGAAACTGTTTTTTGTTTTTGTTTTGTTTTTTTACTTTTATGTACAGTACCAAGAGATTACTGGCAGAGAAATAAGGATAAGAAACAAATTGTTCACACATATATCAAAGCCTTCAAAAACACTGGTGACAACATAACTCTTTTAACCTCGCAAATTCAGTAACACAGAGATCTTGCCCTAGGCGAAGTGAATTCAGGTGACTTCTTTGAATCATAGCATGGTTGCTCAAGGTGATTGCACAGTTTAAGGCACAGTTGCACATTTTAGATGACTAAATTAATTTGCATGACTAAATTACATTGCAAAACTGCTACTAGTATGACTTCTGAAAATTTCAATAAAGAGTTGGTGGGAAACAGTGGGAGGCATGCAGTTCTGCATAGTGTATGGGAAAGTTACTTAACTTTCCTACACTACTGCCATTATGGGAAGTGAAAGTAGGCTAATGACATACATTAACTGGCTTAATGGTTGTAGCTTGTTTCTAAAAAGTTCTTAAAAATACAAAATTTCCCAATGATTAAGCCTGGCATGCAGTCATTTTAGGCTTGGAAACTTTAACTGTGCTGAATAAAAAATGAATAGGCTAGAGATGTAAGCTTCATGTAGCGCCGGTCCCTGGTGGTTTGATTATTTCCTGTCTCATGTTGACTGAAAGATAACAGTTGTTCAGTGTTTTTCACAGCAGAATTTTCTCCAAAAACTGGATGTCCATCGAATTACCATGACTAAATTATTATTTAATAATACCGTTGATAAAGGTGGATATTTATGGTTATGCTTCACATACTGAATTATTATAGAGTTAGCTATAAACATAGAAAAATAGGGGGTGGGGGGGTGGAAGACTGCTAAATGATGTAGAAATAGAAATTTCTAAATAAATACCTGTAATCAGTGCATTCAACAAGTGTTACTTCATTACAATTTTTTTATTAGTCCTTCATTTATTCAGGTAAAAAAAAAATCTGATTGAGATCAAAAAATCTCATTTCCAAGAGAGACCTGACATCTTGGCAACAAAAGTCAAAATGTTATGCACCATCCATGACGCTACTTTTTAGTTAGTGTTGATCCCTGAACCTGAAAATCCTCTCTTTCAGTCTAGTTATTAAGCCGACAGGACAGCAAAAGAATTTCCTTAAAAATGTCCTGATTTATTCAGTGTCTCATCGCCTAAGCAATCTTTTCAAATTCTGTGATTGCAAGTACCCGTGGCTCAACCTCTGCATAAAGATCACATCTTTCTATCTCTCACCTTATTTTTTTTTCTTAATATGAAAAAAATATTTTCTTTATTTCCAGCACTAAATACTGCACCACCTACTCACCACTGGAAATGCATTCAGCACCCGTTACTCACACTGACAAACACTCGATCCCCCATTATGTTTACAGTTGTATATTTGATTCATTAACTGAACCAATTTGCTTTTGTGAGGTTTCCATGCCTGCTGTGTTTTACATGACAGTCATAACAGGTCGTGGTCTTTTAAATCGTGACTGGTAGATGGCTATTTCTATTCCCAGTGATACGCCATTGTTGTGTTTTTTTTCTATGTAATAAAGAGTCTTTCCTCCTACATATTTGGTGAAAGCAGTCATTTTCCATGATGCATCCCTCCCACTCTATTTCTCCTCTCAGTGTAACTTTAATGCATACACACACACACACGAATGCAAACTCACATAAAACACAAAAAACAAACCACACTGGCCCATCATCCATCTCTCCATCTTGTTCCATATAAAAAATAAAATTTTTTTTTTTTTTTTTTAAATGGACTGTGCCTGCTTTCTCAGCCCCCTCTCTGCTTTATTGTGGTGGTGGTTGCCCTCCTTCTTGTGAGCGTGCAGTGATATGCTGGATATTCCCTTAATCTATGGCTCTTACATAATCGGCAGCAACATCATTCACTGAGCCACTGGCTGTCTCCCCGTGTCACTCACTGTGGTTATCACACAGTTACAGGGATGAATAAAGGACTGGGAGAAAGGGTTGGATGGATGATATACTGTAGCTAGATGGATAGATAAGGCATTGTTGAAAGCGATGAGTGAACTATATGGATGCAGGGGACATCGTTTGTTGCCGATGATGTATATACACGGGTTGGTTAGGTGTGTGTTGCAGATAATATCTGCATGTGAGTTATATGAGTGCAAAACTGGAAAAAGTGAAGGTTGTTATGTTTCACTGTTTATGTGTGGACAGCACATTCAAGCAAAAGTAGCAGGAGAGACGCAGAAGGGAGATCTGTGTGTGTGTGTGTGTGTGTGTGTGTGTGTGTGTGTGTGTGTGTGTGTGTGAAGTAGAGAATAGAGGTCTTACAATAGTAGCATAGAGCAGAGAGAGGAAGCAGGGAAACGCAATATTGTAACATTTAAATGATCAAAAGGGTGAGATAGAAGCATTGGATAAATTGCAAACAAAAGCATGATTTTGTGATTTTTCATGTATTGTGTTCTATTTACATTATAGATGTGGCAAATGTCGTATTTGTTCTGTCAGCAAAAAATACGACAGAAAGAATTTAGGGGAAAAAGGTTAAGAGTAGAATCAAATCTATTCTTGTCAAGCAGGACCAACATGCTAAAGCAGGGGTAAGGTCTCCCATTGCTCACAGAACAACCTTTAATTTTCTTTGCAGAATTTCACAATATATCACAAACACTGCATTGACATGATTACTTCATGTATGCAGCAGGGACTTGGCATGGTCTACACTTGTTAAAGCCTGCCTTTCTCATTTACATTCAAACAAAAATTTAAGATTTTTTTCAGGTAATTTGGTATTTCTCTTATGTTTCTGTTTATTATATTTGTTGAATGTCTTTCATGAAAGGCTTTGCTGTTAAACATTTTTTAAAATATTGTTATTGTTCTTTTTATTAGATATTCGACTGAAGACAACACTCATGTATCGAAAAAAAAGTTCTTTAAATTGAAAGGCTGTTTAAAATAAAGTGAACAAAAACACGAATCTGCCGTAACACTAAAATGGGAACACTTCTAATATTAATAAATTGGAATGCAAACTAAATCTTCACTAAACAGAGGATAAACAACAAATATGAAAATGAAAGTGGTTGGTAAATGGACTACCATTATGGACTATATACCACTTTTCTTAAAGTGCTTTATACAATTTGCCTAATTCACCCCCATTCATTCAAGTACATTTTCCTATGATTTTTTTTCTTTTTGGTAAGTGTTTTTTAATCTAAAATTCATAGAAGTTCTTACTCTTATGGATGCATTGGAGAGCAACTCGGTGTCAGTATCTTGACCAAGGATATTTGGCATGCAGACTGGAGCAACCAGAGCTCAAACAACCAATTTTACCTGCTCTTTCTCCTTCAAAGCGGCCTTTAAGATTTAATAAAGCAGTTTTCGGACACAAGCACAATTGTGTGATCCATCACATTGCTCTGTAGAAAGTCTGATGCTTTCAAATTGCTGTAATTGTATCCCTCCAAGAAATACTGGCCCATGTAGGAGTCTTCTGCTATATGATGGATACAGACTCAAAACTCCAGCTAACTCTTTTTGCATTTGTGTGTCCATGGAGCATTCTCTAAAAAATGGCACAAATAACAGGAGTTGTAGAACTAGTCAAAAAAGACATCAAAGTGTGTGGCTCCGGTAGTGACATGGCTTTTGATGCACACTGTGTTGACGCAATAAGTACAGACTAAGCTTTAAACATTGATCAATGAACAATCATTTGTCATGGAGATATCGGTCACAGTGATGAAATATTCTTGTCATCGCTGGCATGAAGCTGAAACAACTATACGATCATAAAACTGAAGTAAATGTGGTTTAAATCATTTTACACTATAGACAGAATATAGTTCGAATATGTGTTTTCTCCCCACGTGGGTTCTCATAGGGAGTACTACCTACATTTTTCCTACAGTATGGCTTTACAGTGTAGAGTGCTCTAAGATAACTCCTATTGTAAATATCAGAAATGAATTGAACTAAATTTGAATAATTACATTTCAAGTTGTGTGATTCATTGCTGTTTTTCAAGTTCCTTGGAATAAAATGACAGCTCTGCTCTTTATATCACTGCCATCATGAATCATTGCATCAGAGCTCAGTTAACAATGGCTTTTTTTATTATACATACAACTTCGTCAGACACTTTTATATAGTCAGAGTTAGCTAAAAAAAAATTCAGGTGTTCAGGTAATTCAGGTCTTTTTCAGCAAACTCTTTTCTAACTCAGGATTAGACAATTCAGAATTCAAGAATTAGACTCAACGTGAGTTAAGCAAAAAGGTTGCATATTGTAGTACTCGCCTTTTTTAACACAATTACTATTTTTTTTATCTACTGCTCTCCGTTTGCCACACAGATGTGCTTATGTCATGCTGACAGAGCCAGCATAAACTGTGAAAAGAATGAAACGCTGAAATTGTTATATAACAGCACAGAGCAAAGAATGGATTTCGTCAGCTAAAGAGAGACAAACACAAGCTAGACAGGATGAAAAAAAAATACAGAAGCTTAGCAAGATACCAGAAGTCAAGTCAAACCTCAGATCTAAATAAACACAATGATTAGGGAGAAGAACCTGATATGCAATATATAGAGATGATGTCATAATGCGCATGTTATATACCTCAACCTTAGAACCACAAGCACTTTTGGCCACCTCATTTTTGCGTTTTTAGCCCTTCCCAAACAAATGACTCATACTTCACAAAAAAAACTGCTTCCCACCTTCCTTGAGTTATAATTCAGAAAAACCAAAACTAATAAGTAAATTTCTAGAATTTGTGTAATTCAAATAGGGGCATATCAATATGTGCAAGCCATTTCACAGAGCAATTAGTGCAAAAAAATACATAAATACACTTTGCTTAGTATTAGCCAGATGTTACTGAGCCACATTTTTTAAATCCCATGCTTCATTCATTTGCTGGGATTAACCAATTTCTAATGTTTAAAGCTGGAGCTAATACTATACCATCACTTTCTGCATGTCCTTTACTGGTTTAAGTAAAGAAAAGCAAAAAAGTAAAGGTGGCATTTCTCTACTTTTGTGATATTAAGTGATATTAAGATGTTTTATCTGAAAGAAACAACAGCAGGCTGGTCATCTTCAATTAGCTAATTATCAGAATATTTGTTGATACATGTAAACAGAAGTTTGAAAAGGTGAGTTAGACTTACTGAGGACACCTCTACGTCATTCCCTGCGGTCACAGCGGGAGCAGCGGCCGCAGTTGCTGCCTCCTGAGCTGCTGCCTTCATGGCCGCTGCTTTCCGGTGCTCCCTGTTGGCCTGTAAGGTGGAGAAGTAGTTGACGGCGGCAAACTCAATCAGGGCGGAGAAGACAAAGGCAAAGCAAACAGCAATGAACCAATCCATGGCTGTGGCATAGGAGACTTTAGGGAGTGAGTGGCGGGCACTGATGCTGAGCGTTGTCATCGTCAAGACAGTGGTGATACCTGCATATGGGAAGGAGACAGCAGTAGATATATTGTTAAATAAGGATGCTGAGCCTGCCTGTTTAAATTGAGCCTTTTTTTTCTCAAAATCTGTAGATCAAATCTTAGAAATCATTTATCATTTTACCCAAATCTTCACAGCACTTATTACAATGGTGTTTAACACCAAAAAAGAGAAAAAAAACTATTTCACGCATGTCAGGATTTTAAAGAGAAAGCACTGCTGTTCAAACAGAGGGCCAAAGGATTGTCTGAACACATTTTATTGGATGTATATGAGTCAAAAATCGAGCTTTCTGGTTGAAATGAGAAGTTTCTGTTTGGAGAAAGGAGAACACTGCATTCCAGCAAAGGAACCTTATCCCATCTGTGAAACGTGGTGGTGGGAGTATTGTAGTTTGGGCATGTTTTGGTGCATCTGGTCCAGGGCAGCTTGCCATTAGTGATGAAACAATAAATTCTTAATTTTACCAGAGAAAACGTGAAAGAAAAAGACAACCAGTAAACAAACACTGATCGGTCGTTCTACCAAAAAGTTTTTGTAGTAAAAGAAAGATTATTTTTTGGAATCATCAAGGTTCTGATATACATCCAGCAGAAATGATGTGGAAGGATCAGGATAAGCAGTTCACGAGCAAACCCACTAACAGTGCAAAGTTGAAGCTCTTCTGTAAAGACGGATTTGAGAAAACTGGATGTTTAGGTGTTCATTGCTTTTCAAAAAGTAAAAACATTAAAGACACTGACAGTAACAATCCACACACAAATATGCAATACTGGGACATTTGTTCCTAAAGAACAAAAAAGTTAACAATTTAGATTAACAATGATTGTTAACCTAAATATTGGGAGAAATCTTACAGTTTCTTCATGCAGTTGCTAAATTTGAGATTTCAAATTTATACTTTCATCAAAATATCAATAGTATCAGCAATATCCATGATGAAACTGCAAACAAACCATCATGATGGACTCGTACGAGTTACTGATAAATATCATAATAAGCTAACTTGACATACACATTTATACATCTTCTTCTTCAGCTGCTTCCTTTAGGGGTTGCTAATGGATCATCTGCTTCAATTTCACCTCATCACTTATATCCAATTCTATCATCCCTACTCTCTGCATATCCTCGTTTGCTACATATATATGAACCATTTCTGTGGTCTTCCTTTTTTCGTTTTGCTTAGCAGCTCCATCTTTAAGATCTTTTCTCCAATATACCCCGTGTCCCTCCTCTTCTCATATTCATACCATCTCATCCTTTTCTCTTACTTTCCCTCCAAATTATTGAACCTGAGCTGTTCTTTTCTGTTCATTTCAGCTGTTCATTTCTAATCCTGCACCTCCAGGTCCCAATCGAAATCATAGCATCGTGTTATTAATATTTATAGAGAAAGATATACTTTAAAAAAAGGCACATTGCACATCATACAACAAAAGATACTGTGTAACACTAGTTAAGATGTTGATGTCATAAAGCTTTGATAAAAATATATGTGTATATGATGTAACAAGAAAATAACAGAGCCAAGCAGAGCATATTTTTCCCATGGAATATTTTTAACATGTGGCAGCAGTCCTGTTTTATGGCATATAACTAGAATGTGGCATTTCAAATCAGAAAGTGTTGCCAAAAAGTCACTTGAGGGAATGCTAATCTGTCCATAAGCAGACTAACCCCTGCCCCCACATTGGCACATCGGTAAAAAGAGACCGAATATCTATAAACATTCTGGAGAAAGACATCCAGGCTGTATGGTATTTGCTAATATTTGTTTGCTTGTCTAATATGAGGTACAGACAAGATGATGGAGAGAGATGATCAGAAGAAAGAATGAACATGAACTTGAAGCTTAGACTAAGACTAACAGACTTCCTTTTAGTAGGAAATCAATATACATGTATATATATAATTATTTTTATTTTTATTTTTTTTCTAAGTAATTTTCATTTGGGAGAAGAGTAGTTTATCACACAAAAGGTCCATTACATGTGCATTTTAGATATAACATTTAAGACATAGCCCCTAATACTACTTAATTCATGAATAGAAATGATCCGTAGTTCTTAATCCTTAGATAAGAATTTCCCTTTTCCCCACCCAGATTCCTTCCTTATTAAGTCAGATAAAGATGCTGACAATGAACATCTCTTTTAATAGCCCATTACCAAAGTACATATCTAATTCACTTTCATCAAGCTAAAGCAAGCAGGGATAAAGGGCCATTGAACACTGTTCCCATGGTTTACCAAATGTGCACTGTAGCTGTGCACTTTTCATTAGCATTGTAGGAACTTATGGGGGTTTTAATGCACCTAATAATGTCTCAAAAACATTTTCTACACAGCACTTTGATGGTAAAACCTAACAACCCTCAGATGCAACCTCCTCCAACAGTCAACCAGTCTGACTGTTTAAATCTGAAGCACCAGTTAAATGACTGCAAAAGGGAGGAGGAACATGGAAAGAAAGCCTGTCAGGGTAGGAGGGAGAGGCAAAAGAAAAAGAAAGAAAGAGTGTGGGAGGGAGAGGGATGAAGTATAAAGACAGGATAGAAATGAAATGCTTGGGGCATTTATGGGCTTTTATAAGAAAAAAAGCAAGGTACAAATTAGGCCACACTCAATTAAGTCTGTAAGACTTGTGCTCAAGGGACTTTCAGCTCTTAGGTTGTTGACAATTCAGCACGCAATATGGTATGGTTTAATGCACTGTCAGTGTCAGGCCTGTCTCCAGAACAAAACAACCTAGGATGCATCTGAAGAAAATAAGAGTGCACTAGCTCTGGTTACCTTCCAAATAATGATTATCGGATTAATACACACAGCTATTCACTGTTTTCTGTTGTTGTAGCAAATGTATGTCTTGTGAAGTCAAAGAAGTGTTTAAAGTGCACAAATGAATTATGACTTCATAGACACAATAATTGTTTGTTTTGAACTCCCTTAATACATGTTTTGTATGTTTAATATTCTTACACCTATAGGTCACCTATAACTTATCTGTTCTTCTCAAACGTAACTAAACTGTCTATCTTTTAGTCACAACCCAAAACTTGTGTGTTAATTCAATTTATTCAAGCAGTGGCTTTTTGGCCATCACTTGCAATGCAACTTGTTTTGTACATAATCTCTTGTGTCCTCTGTCCTCGATTGAGAATGAGCAGGTTTTTGGGTTTGTTTCGGTTTTTTTTTGCTTGTCTGTATCTTTTCATTCCAGCCAGTACTGAGTGAATTGAGAACAGCAGGATGAGTGAGGCTAATGAGTTGCCACAGATGTGCTTTCTACATGAGGCTTCAACTTCCATGCAAACATTAATGACGGGGATCTATTCTCTGAAGGAGAATGCAGATTTGTTGGAGCGCTGGCTCGTTTCCAAAGACAAGGGCTAGCACTGCTTCTGTGCACAGCTGCATCTTGAGTTTTACAAATAATGGAAATTCAGTTAAAAATGATAGCAAAATCTGTGCACTTTTGCACATTACCCTCACTTTTTGCATCTGTGCTTTTTCTGTCTTTCTGTTGCTGTCATTCCTCTTAGTCTATCTCTGTTTTTGTTCAGTGTATCTCACCCTTGCTGCTCCTGAGGCTAGAGCTTGGTAGCAACTGTAGCGTAATGTAATGTGAGCAAGCGGAACCTGTGAGTGCTCGGAAAAGGGCCAAGTAAACATCCTCCCCCTCTCAGCCCTTGCATGACCAATTTCAAAAAGGACATCTATTCCCAATTAATTCAGCTCCACCATAGTGGAGGAGGAATAGAGATAATGAAGGTAAAACCTGACTGTGATGACTGTGGTGGTCTTTGTTCTATTGCAGGAGGTTTCATTTTAAAGACAGCTCATTGCAGTTTAATTTAGGGTGCAACAAACAGAGAAAATATAGTTGCTTAAAGTTTGTAAAGTGAGAGTCAGGAGTTGTGGGGTCAACCAGTGGGCGGCAAGTCAATAAATCCAGACAGTTTATTATTTGGCTTTTTGATACTTTGATACTTTACTAAAAAGAAGTAAGCCACAACAAAATAATGGATAATGTATGCTTGGCTATTTTGTTCAGCTAATTAATGGGCACTCAAGTTGTGTCATAATCTGAAGCTAACTGCAATGGTGCAAAATTAGAACTGAGAAAACCTGAATATTTACAAAAATTTGCCAGAGTTATTTTTGGAAGACAAACTGAAAATGTTCTTCAGCGTTCCAAATATTTCAATCCAAGTAGTCAATGGCTGTGTGAAATGTGTTAGCTCTGGAGTCTACGTCAAAATCCCTTTTTCTGATATTTTTTTCAAATCTTGAAACTGACATTGAAATTTATACACTAAATGAGTATGAGAATTTAAGGAGCTCTTACCGAACACAGTCCGAGCTGGAACTGATTCCTTATTAATCCAGAATGAGACTTGGGCCAGGATGACAGTCATGATACAGGGAATGTAAGTCTGAATCAAGAAGAAGCCCATTTTCCTTTGCAGGTGAAAATGAACGGTCATAATGACATATTCACCTGGAAGAGTAAATACCAAAAAGATTTGTCAATGCTGAGAATTTACTTGACATGGTTGCCATCTGATGAATACACCAGTCTTTTAATACTGACTGGTGAAAAGTATTGTTCTATTTATGATGAAATTTTTAAAAAGAATGCAAGTTCATGCATGACATAACATTCCACAAACATGTAATGGTAAAGAGTTCACTGATTCACTGAAGTGTCCTTAGCAGGTTTTAGTTTTAACACAGTGACCACTGCACACTCTTTATGAGAGGTGATGTTAAACATCTGCTCACCTGTATTGGATTTTAGTCTCTCACTGGAAACTGTCTGACCAATAAGGTCATACTGCAGCAAACTGGATGATTCTTGTGGCACTTCAACAGACGACAGAGGACCTTTCTTCCATGTGTACACAATTTCACTGATGGGGTAAGCATCTAGACAGCATGGATAAAAAGGGCGATTAAAAATGAAAACTTTCAAAAATTCACACACACATACACACATATGTATGGCATTTCAAATTAAGATCTTTGACGATATCTTGTCAGTCATCTGCTCAGTGACAGAGTAATCAGTGATTGAAAGTGACACCATCTGTCGGGTGAGTAAGGCTGAAAAAAAACTAACTCACAACTCCCAAACTTAAGTGGGCAGGCATGGCCGTCCATGGGGAAGTTCATCAGACGCATGGGGCACTCTGCATTTATAGTTAATCTGTAGGAATAGAAAACAGTTTAATTAAGTGTATGATTTATATTTCATACTAACTTTATAAACACTGCTCTTTCAAGCTGGGTCTGGTGTGGTGCCATTCAGCATTATAGCAAAAAAACAAGTACAGAATATAGGATTATACAATATTTTTGGTAACATAGATGACCTAAAACCTGCAAGACCATTGCACTGCGGTGAACACACAACTTGGCGAAGGACAACCGTGGATAACACATTTCACAAAGGATGTTTTTATTTATTTATTTATTTTTAATGGCAGAGGAAGAATCCCATGTTTGTTGTCTGCTCATAAGTAAAACATATACTTACATATTTTCATAACTTATTTATAACTTATTTTTAATAACAACTTAATGTTATTTTCTATTTGTATTTATTTTATTTTATTTATTTGTTTATTTACTTGTAAAACACATTTGATTCTTTGGAATTATTCAAGTTATAAAATTCACAGAACACAACATCTTAATAATATCCTTAGTTGTTAAAACATTTCCAGTGATATTATATTGGTTTTATTGTTAATGTAATAAATGACTTAGGTTATTCAGTTCTACAATGTTGTTATAATATTCTTGTTTACCAGAGTGACAGTTTATACAAGAACTCACAGCTAATAAGCAGCTCAGAGCTTTGAGGAAATTTCTCAGGCTCACAGACGAAGGGGGGGGAAACTGATCCCAAATGAAATGATTCAAGTTAAACTACTTTAAAAAAAAAAAAACTTGATGAAGTAATTCAGAAAAAGTTTAGATCTTTTACCCAAAGCTAACACAAGGACAAAATTCAAGCTGAGACTGTAGAAACTGCATCATTATACTCACAAAACTACAGTTAGCTTATCTGTTATTTAAACATCTATTGCCTTCGAATGTATTTTCTTTTCAGCCAGTGAACCAATAAATGTAGCACTACTTCATATATGTAAAAAAAAAATAAAAAATAAAAAAAACAAACAAGTTGGTTTGTGTCTGCCATCTTGTCTATAGCCCCCCACCCCACCCTCATAAAATCTGTAATGTAGATAAAGGTGGCATCCCTTTATTGTAATATAGTTTACAAATTTTCTTAGATAAAGCCTTTTTATTTACTTTTAAATGTTTTAGAGTTCATCCACTTAGATAATCTAATTAAAAACAAAAAAATCTGTTTTTGTGCCATTATTGACTCTAGGGGCTTTTTTTTTCATTCTGCATATCTCCTTTTGGAACAAAGCTGGAGTCATGTTTGTTTGAATCACTTTCCAGGGCTGTTTTCAGTATCAGATGGCACATATCTTGTTTTTGGAATGGCACGCTGTTTCTTTTCATGTCTGTGCATATTCTTGGATGCCTGTTCATCTAATTTGTTTTCCAGGTCTGTGCTCTATTCCGGTCTTGGCTAGGTTTGAATCTCACTGTCCAGCACTGTTACCTCATGGTGTAGAGGATAGTTCCGTTCTGCATGATGCGGAACAGCTTGTTGGGGGTAGTCATGTTGTGAGAGATCGACCTCTTGCCATTGCGGAAAAATGTGTCCGGTGTCCAGATCTTGCTGACCATCAAGTTGTTGAGCCGCAGGATCTCAATGGGGCCCTCAAATTTTAGTCGTTCGTCAATCCACGTCTGACGAAAGAACACATCCATGGTGTATTCCTGGATGGAGGTGAGAGCGTGGGTTACGAATGTATTTACTACTACTATGACCACTCCTACTGCTGGTGCTGCATCTACTATCTCCTGCCATTATTATCTGCTTCCCCCGGAGATAATGGCAGATGGGTTTGTGAGCCATGGTTTCGAAGGAACCTGCTGGATAGAGTATTGGCAATGTGATGAATTGTTTTCTCTTTCTCAGTCTCTTTTTCTTTCTGGAGGATTATGTTATTAATGCCAATACTGCCAAAACTAAAACCTTGTTTATGATGAAAACCCTCAAGACATAGCATATTGTACACTTTGGTCACGTTTACACACACACACACACACACA